TAGCAAAACCCACTAATTCGTTTTTTTTCTTCCGTGCTATATTTAAAGATTTAATTACCTATATAAATTTTTCATGCCTTTATCCATGAATTCTTACCAAAAGTCAATATAATGTCCACTAAACTGTTTTAATCATGTTAACAAATTTTAAACGATTTCAAACTTAACCATTTTCTTAATGCAAGTTATTGTAATTCTAAATAATCATCATGAAATAAATCTACTCATATGTTATGTGTAATGTTTACAGCATACTAGGTGTGTCCATCCGGGCCGCTCGGCCCGGCCCGGCCCGAAAATCAGGGCCCGGGTCGAGCAAAACCGGAGCCCGGAGCCGGACACGGGTACCCCGGGCTGGGTCCGGGCCCGGGCCTGGGCCCGACTGGGCCGGGTTCCGGACCGGCCCGGTTTATTATTATTATTATTTTAAATTCTATTTAAAATTTAAATTATACAAAAAAATTAATAAAAAAAATAATTTTATTAATCACTTAAAATGACATAAATTACAAATAAAAAATTATAAAAATAAATTCTTTATTAATAATTAATAAATCATTTATAAATTACAAGTATAAATTTATTTTGGAATTCATCGCATCAGAATAGATAAGTACATCCCAACTAGGTTTCTTTAAATTTCTTTTCTTTTTGGATAAAAAATGCTAAAAATTAGTTTAACATTATTATATTTTATAAAATTATGTATTAGTATATACTTATAAATTATTATGTAACTATATATTATATATACATATAATATATTATATGTAAATATATTGTATATATTTATAAGTTATAACTTGAGAGAGAGAATCGCATAAGTAGTCGTTGCCCGTTTGGCCAATGAGGAAGAAGTAGCCGTTGTAATATACTATACTTATATATACTTATATACTAAGAGAGAGAGTATACACACACATAGAGAGAGAGATTATACATATATAAGAGAGAGTATACTTATATAAGAGGGAGTATACATATATAAGAGAGAGTATACTTATATAAGAGGGAGTATACATATATAAGAGAGAGTATACTTATATTTACATATATACTAAGAGAGAGAGAGTATATATATATACACACACATATATTATACATATATAAGAGAGTGTATACTTATATATATTTATATAAGAGAGAGTATACATATATAAGAGAGAGTATATTTATATATACATATATACTAAGAGAGAGAATATCTATATACATACATACATACATTATACATATATAAGAGAGAGTATTCTTATATATATACTTATATAAGAGAAAGTATACTTATATATACTTATATAAGAGAGAGTATACTTATATATACTTATATACTAAGAGAGAGTATATATATATACACACATATGACATATTATACATATATAAAAATATATTATATATATATATAGTATATATATACATATATTATACATATATAAAAATATATTATATATACATATAATACATATTATATATACATATATTATACATATATAAATACATATAAAAAAATAAAAAAACCACTATTCCGGACCGGGCCGGGCACCAAAGAGGCGGCCCGGGCCCAGCCCGGAGCCCGAACTTGGCCCGGGTTTCTGGGCCGAGGCCGGGTTGGGCCGGGCTCCGGGCTTCGGGCCAGCGGGCTTTTTGGACACCCCTAAGCATACCCACGAAGTATTTCGTTCATGGCTATAGTTCTTTGGTAGCAAGAAAAGGAGTTTGTTACTTGATTTGGGAGCTCCTACATGGTACTACATGGTAAGATCTATAGACAACAAAACCAGAATGACGATGATGATAACGACAAAGATGCTGAAGGTGTTAGTGGAAAAAGAGAATGATGAGAGGCTTTTGAGAGATGAGTGGACGAGATTCCCGTATCGGTCGTTGGTCCCCAATGGCTGTGTGGTCGAGACACAGGTCAGCAAATAATTTTAAGGGGAGTTGAGTGCAATATTTGCGTTTTCAGGTGTTCGGGCGCAAGGCAGCTTGACTCTTATGGCCTGTTTGGATAGAGGGTAGAGAGGGGAAGGGAAGAGAAATTTCATTTTAACATTGTTTGGGAGTTTTATTTTGGAGGGTAGAGGAGGAGAATAGAGGGGAAATTTGGCCCAAATTCTTACCCCCCAAATTGGAGTGTAATGGAGGGGAAGGGAAGGAAGGGGGATTTTTCCTCTTCCTTCCTCTTCCTTCCCTTCCCTAAGTAAACTCCCAAACACACAGATTAAAACTTTTGAAACTTTTTCAGGTTACTTCGTGCCAGAAGAAATACGCAGCAAAGAGGTCAAGCAACATAGTGCTGAAATTTGCACACAGATTAGGTATGTTGAAATGTTGCTGTGATGAGAGTAAGAAATTTTCGAGCATCATACTTTGCTGATGAGGGAAAAGTGTCTTACGGCATCATAATTTGTAATACTGCTCAAGTTCTTGGTTTTTACCTCTTAAATTAAAAATTTACCAAACCTCCTCCTTAATGTTGATTTTTAATTTCAATTACTTCAAAATGTGATAATAATACTACTACTTCTTTTAAGGATTCAAAGATATGCGGGTGTAATCGAAAGAGATGAAAGAGATTTGTTTAAATTCTCCCCTAATCTCCACAAACGCAAGAGGTTTCTCGCGTATCCATATTAATGAACGGGTTTCCAAGATAATTCAATGATAAACAAAATCGATTTCTGCATTGATAACTGAAGGACTTAAATCTCTGCATATTTCAAAACCAAAAAGGATTCTCAACACCAGCAGACTAAGGAAGTGAAGCCTTCAATCTCCTTACTAAGATGGACACTTTTATAACAAGTATATTCAACGATTCAAAAATACTTGATGAAATTATATCAAGAAGCTCGCCAAACAACTCTCCTTGCTGCCTCTCAAGTTAGAAATGTTTACGGATCTACATAAAAAAATAAAATAAAATAAAATAAAACAAAGAAAAAGAACTCTAGAAGATTATTACATTAAATATTCATATGGTTATTGGAAAGGATTTAGACAATTAATCTGCCATAACCATAAGCTTCACAAAATTTCTGCAAAACCAAAAACAGAAAAAAGTTACCACAAATTGCTCAACTTTTTCAGCACAATATCATCTTTGCTATGCTGCTTAAGAAATGTGACTGGAGTGCAGTTATTAATATAACTTTGAAAATGGTCCATGAAGTGCAAACTAAGAATCTAGTCATTGCAATGTTTTTGTAGGAAGTTCATTTTCACTTTGGTACCCAAAAAATTTCCCATTTTTCCACTTCGATACACTAAGTATTTTTTTAACACTTTGATACACCAATGTTTCAATTCGATTTCACCTTTACACCAAACCACAAAAAGGGGCAAAGGGTACTAAAATGAAAATAAGCCTTTTTGCAAATAAATATAAAAAATTAAAAGAATTATTGCTTTTTCATAATTTTTTTTACAAATATGCTTTACCATGAGAAACTTCTAAAAATAGGAAACTGAGGTTAATGGTTAAAGCAGGAAATCTAGCAATAAAGATCTATTGCCTAAAACAAACTAAATAGAGATGTAGGACTACAGAAGACTCAGCTGTAGCCTTCAACCGCTAAAGGATGCAAGAAAGAAGCTTGTTCATAAAAAGATTAAGGTAATTGAACTGATAGGAAATCATCATTTACCTTGTCAAATTTACGTCTACTCACCTAATAGATTCCTTAAGAAGTATCATTGGTTTTGGGATTTTTCATTCCCTTTGTCTATTTGGTTTATTTATGCTATAGGGATGAACACAATCTTTTCAGCAGATACGCAACTTAACTCTTTATTCACTCTCTTCCATAAGCTAAGAGAGTCTGGAAGTTGGCTCATCATTTGCATGAGCTTAAATTGCAACATGAAATAAGGTAGCCCCTACGCTTCTGAGGTCTAGCCTACTAGTTATGCTGACAGGTTTTGTTATAGGTGGTCCTAGGTTCAAGACCGCAGTGCGGTCCCAGGTTCAAGGGGCTATGGCCTTTCTTTGAAAGAAATTCGTTCACTTGCTGCTAGTTCCATAGGTCATGAAGGTTCTATGGCACGATTTAGATTAGGGTTAATTGCGGATAGACCCCCTGCAATTTTTGCGTGGATAAACCCCTAGTACTATTTGTGCAAGTGCGGATAGATCCCTGAGTGATTTAAGAGTGAAAAAAAAATCACTCGGGTTCTATCTGCACTTGACCTATAGTACAGGAGGTCTGTCCACAATTAACCCTTTAAATCATGAGAATGATGATGGATACCAATGAGCAACTGTATGGTGGAACATCTCAGCAATCTGTACCCAAATGGTTGGCTAAGCAGTGAGTCTCCAGCGTAACCAAACCTCCTAGAAATTCTTCCGCAAAAAAAAAAAAAGTCATGGAATAACTAACATTGTTTATTTTAAAAAAAAAAATTATCTAAAAAAAGATTTAATCCCAAAGTTTGAGGGATGCTACTTGGATTGTTGTACCGGTTCAGCTGTAAGGGTCATCTCCTATTGTCACATTAGTGACTACTACACTGTACTAGAGGGATCTTTACATATTATTATGCTTACTTGCCAATGATCATTAAAATTCCATGCAAATGCCCTAATCATATATCAAAATAAGGATAAATTATTTTTGCTAGTTATTAAACTAAAAAAATTCACATTATCAGGAATGTCTAAGAGATAAAGCATGCATATCCATTCCACTCAAAAATGGGTTGGTTGTAAGTCCGTACCTATAATCCCATTTAAACAAAAACATCTTCAGGAGAATGCAGTAAAAGTATAATCTCCAGACCAGAAAAATGGTTTTCTGATAAGGAACCCAATAATATTAAATATTTCAAGTAGCACCTTGCATCACTCCCGATTAGTAACCTCCCTCACTAATAATTCGCGTCCACGAAAATTCTGCAAGAACACAAGTTATGAGAATAAAACATTGAAATCTATAGAACAAGATAGCTATGAAAACCACCAAAATCCCGTACAAAAAATAAACATAACCAAGGAGAAGATCCCTTATATTAAGTGGCCGAACACTTGAACAGAATGGACATATGCAATTGTGAGCTAAAGTACATAAAAGACAAACATTTACCGATCCATTTGCTCCAATTGCAGCCCTAAGTTCCTCAGCAGAAGAGAAGGAAATGAATCCATAGACACGATTTCTTCCTCCTTTTCTATCATAGAGCACCCTAGCACTGACGACAGTCCCAAACTGGGTAAAGTGTTCCCTCAAATCTTCAGGTCTAACAGCCCATGCAAGATTACCAACATAAGCTTTATGTTGGCTTTCAAAGATAATGCCCAATTTGGGTGCTGAAGTCAGCGCCTCAGTATTTTTTCTTCCAGGAACCATGTCAGCTGAAAACTTAACACGAATCTCACGACCACCAAGATCCTACAAATGCCAAGCTTAAGAAAAAATGCTAATAAAAGGGAGAAAAAAGAAAAGCTTAAATAACTTATATATGTGTCCGAAAATAAAAAGTTATAAACATACTGATCCATCTAGAGCTGTAATTGCAGATCTGGCTTCAGGAACTGAATTCATAGTAACATAACCACATCCCCGACTAACACCTGTTTCAGAATCCCGGGAAATCTGCAACATTTTTACATTACAATAAATGCTAAGAAGCTGTAGTTTCAAATCATACTGCATTGTAATATCAGAATGCAGAAATCACAGGAATCAGTCATAGAGATATGCAAGACGTGATATTCTAGTCTGAAAGTAACATCCTGCTTCTGAAGACATATAACTGCAATGTAATTTGGAGGGTAAGAATCCCACCAATCTCACAAAACTTAACAACACAAAAACTGAAACGGCAATATTATCAGTTATAAACTTTTTGTCACCCATAAATTAATATTTGGCTCCATACTAAGCACCAGCTATAAAGAAATAATAAGCATAATTGTAGAACTCTGGCTCGTCTATCACGTAATTTTTATCACTACTATTCTTGTTGTGTACCTTTCGCCAGTCTGCCTTGGCATTTCTATCACTGTTATTCTTGTTACTAGCATTACAAGCTCTCCCACTGTACATGTAAGTTCAATTTACACTTGATGATGTCTATTCTCATTAATTTTCCTCAAGTTTGAGGAAATCTCAGGTGGAATCTTCTCTGACACCTTCATTTTGTTTGCTTATAGTTGCTACCAGAAACTGATGACATTCACAAATTTATGGGAATATGAGAAATGTCCATGAAAGAGAAGAATAGGTCATTGACTTACAATTTGAAAGGACATAATTTTGTCTACACTGTAAATTTGTTGCATGCCTTATCCCTGTTCAGTCTTTTGGTTAAAAAATTGGAGATTATTTTCTGAAGACCTCATTTTACATTTATTTATCAACTCAATTTGCACTTATTGATAGCTGTTATCCATTAAATTTTCCTTCATTACTTCACTTTTATCACAAAGAAAGTTTTATTTCATATTACCAAAATCTCAGATTCCTATTTACAAAGAAGAGAGATATCTCCTAATGAACGCATAAGGAGTTTTATATAAAGCAAAGAGTGTGATCTAAAATAAACCCACCCAAATTATTAATGACAGTGCACATAGCATAAATGCATGCTTTGAATATGGAAAAAACTTAAAGCAATAAGAAGGAATTTTGTGATAACATGCACATGTTTAATTATGGCCAATCACCATGAGTACAAAAATTGTAAAATGAAAGTAATATAATGCAAAAAATATATATTGTTCATCTATACATGATGAAATAATATATGTTCAGAATAGAGCTCCGCAGGGAGCTCAAAAAAACTGCAAAACAGTTTCATCCTCAATTAGATGAGTGACCATGACCTATTAAATGAGAGCCAAAATAGGACTCACCTAAGCATATACATCAGAATGCAGTAGAATATTTCCTAGGCCTTTTATCTTCAATTTTTAAGGAGCAGACATTTGAAGCCACTAGCGATACACATAAAATATATTATTGTATTATCTTGGAAGGCGATGTGGATATCGATTCTCTATGTACAACAAATTAATATGCATATTGATATGATTTCAAACATTATTCGCAGTTGGATTCAGTTTTAAAGAACCAAAGGGCAGATCTATGTTTAGATATGTCTATACAGATAGTTAAATATATAACCATACCAATAGAATATATACACATATTATATATTTGTTACCCAATACCAAACATGATTCAGATTTTAAAAATATGTGTGCTACAGAGATCAGTGAAATCTACGAAATATTTAAGCAGTTTGTTGTTAATTCCCTTTTAATCTACCACAGACAGATATGGTTGTTATCCATATCTAATTCTTATTGGAATCCAGATTTTCCAGATACTGTCATTGTCCACATCCAACCCATATACATGTTTGTCTGCTGTTTGTAAATTAAATTCTGCTGCAAGAAGATATTAATATATGAATTCCGGTAAGGTAAAGTTCATTTAGGCGGTCGCATAAGCAAACACAACATGAAAAGCATCAAGAGACCCTCTTTGTGCTAGCATAAACCGCATGTTGGGCATATACAGGCAAATTTATAGCACATGCTTGCAAAATCATGACTTCAGATGCTTGTTTGTTTCGGTCAATGATTCATATTCAACTCCAACCTGTTAAACACAAGCCTCACTATCTATGTAACAATCTATTTCAATCTATCTATTTCCCCATTTTCTATCGCATTCTAGGGCACTGCACATCTTCGAATTAGCTCTTTGAGCAACAGTTCTGCTGGTACCACATTCTCTGACAAGCTTCCATTTCTGACGTCGGTTAACAATGTTTCTATGACTTGAAAAAGGGCCTTTGAAGGTTCGGGCAACAGAGATGGATCTGTTATCAGTTCCATTGTTCTTGAATTACTTTGACCCATAGAAGGTAATGATTCCTATGGCTTGTTTCAGAATATCAGCAACTGACAATATCATAAAGCCAAAACTGGTAAATTTCTACTAACAGCTAATAATTTGGAAATGATATGAGCAATGGATAATGTGAATAAAGATAACTACAAGAATCAAGAAAGTAATAGAAGGAAAAAGCGGTGAAGATGTTAGTGCAAGCATAATGCCAAAATTATCAAGAGTCCATAGCACTAGAGATGAATCCCTAGGTAAGTCCGTGTATTGTTTGGCTCTACCTTCCTATCCCTCTTGTTTTAGTTGTTTGGATTGAAATGCACTTGAAGGAGGGACTAACCAAAATTTCAAATTCGGTACCTCGAGAGAAAGGGGGCATGCAGGGTCAAGACAACAATTTAATTGAGACAACTTGATTGGTTTGAGAAGTGGATACCTGCTGAGTCATTGAAGTATGGGGCACAATAATGACCAAGTGCTAATAAGTTACCAGGAACAGTAACTTCTTACAAATTCTTACCTGCTTTTTTCCTGAGGTCATATTAAATGTTTAACATTCTTTCAAGCGTGCATAATCTTTTTGTGTCGTGCGGTAATGGTGTGCATGCAAAAGGCATATGCATAAAATAAAACTTATATAAACACAGACCTGTGTGTCTGTGTTTTTGTAGTATATCATATCCATACCAGATTCTACTTTGAGAAAGAAGCATAAACGGGTCTTGACCATAGTGCAAACACCCCACCCCCCAAACTTCCACTTGTAGCAGCAAGAGAAATTTCAAGCTCAAAATGCAGGAGACGTGATTGCAGTTTGCAGGTTTATTATTCTACTATTCTTATTATCAGCTCTCAGAGGCCAATACTCGTGGAAGCTAGTTATAACAAAGGTCAGCAATAGAGTACTTCTTGTTTCCTTTCTATATTACATACTAGAGTCCCGCATAAGAACCTAGAAACCTTTCTTTTTATAGCCAATCCAGGACAAACTCGACGCATATAGCTGATTATGAAGTACCATAGAATCTGTTAATGATCAAACGTAACACAGGCTTGTATCGCTTGTGTCATCTGAAACAAGAATTCTATTTCACTTTGCAAAGTTCATGGAGCAATATTTGAGCTAATGTATAAATAACTTCAACTACATAGCAGTATAAACAATAACTGAAAACACTTTCTACTATGCCATCATAGATGCATTGAACCAAGAGTCAACATAAAACCAAAACTACAATACCCACTCAAGCATTCTGTCAAACAATTCATGGGCATCCAAAATCCCTCATACCGAACAAACCCATCTCAAAAACTGCATTCCTGTAGCTATATTTAGGTCTAACTTGCTAATTTGATGTATAAGTAGCTATATTTGGGTTCAAGTCGCTAATTTTGTCTAAGTTGATATAAAGTTAAATTTTCAAAAAAAAAAAAAAAAACCCAGTCAAGCATTTTGGAAAACAAATCATGGACATAAAAAAAATCCCCAAACCAAACAGACCTATCTCAAATCTCACATACCTCAACCGAATGAACAGTTCCATAAGGCTTGAAGAGATCCAAAAGCTCAGAGATATCGCAACTCCTGGGGAGATTACAGACATAGAGCTCGCAGGGCTTCGCCAACTCCTTCTTATATCCCTCTTCAGGGGTCAATGCCTTCTCTTGCTCTGCAACTGCTGAAGCTCTGAATGCAGTTCTTTTGGGGGGAGAGAGGGTGAAGAGACGGGAGAAGGAGAAGGGAGAGTGCAAGGAGAATGAAGATGGGGGCGGTGTGGTGGTCCTGTGGAGCAACGAGAGGTTGGGGGAGAAAGAAGTTGACGGAGGTGAGATTAGGGCGGCCATGGAGGAAGAGGAGAAGGGATAAGAGAGGGAAGAGGGGAGGAGCTTTGGAGTTTTTTTTGTTGGCGAATGTGAAGGATAAGTTGAGGGTACTTTTTGCAGTAGAGTACGAGTTGTCTTTGGAAATTGCAAGATTTCTTTTCCTTCTTGCATTTTCTTTTTAGGGTCTTACGATATTAGTCCCTTACATCTTTCATACTTTGACATTTAGTAGCTCAAGTCTATGAAATTGCTATTATGCCCCCATAATTTTTAAGCTATTTAGGAATGAGTCCCTCAACGCACTGATGTTGCTATTATGTACCTCAATTCTTAAGTTGTTTTGAAATTTGTCCGTTAAATCAATAGTAGAACTAGCAAGTAACGATCATAATTTGAAACAAATTATGAGAATTGAGGTAATAATAACTTTGGTGACTTGAGAGATAGAGTCCCCTCTAGTTTGCTACTTCTGGTCTTGATTAAAAGGACTAGTTTCAGAATAAACTAAGAATTTTTCAAAAGGTCCCTTGTTCGAGGCTTGCCAACGGCAACCTGAGAGGTGTTTTATTTTAATTAATCCCTTATAAGTTCTAGTGGGTCATGGGACGTGGGATCGGGGCTAATCGGGCTGAGGTGCTAAGTTGTGTTTTGTTAGGCGCATTTTGCACTTCGCACAGAGGCATCGGGGCTAGGTGGCTGCCGGCTGCCACTATGGTCGCCACACAGGCTGCTTCACAGCATGTGGACGAGTTACGCATTCGCACGAGGGTGTGACCCTAATGTTCTCGAAATCGGACGAGGTTTGTCGAGGTTCATCTGATTCACAAGATCAGACGAGGTTCGCATGTTTAATGAGGTTCGCTCGTTTGACGAGGTTCGTCTGACATACGAGGTTCGCATGTTTGACGAGGTTCGCTCGTTTGACGAGGTTCGTCTGTCATACGAGGTTCGCCTGTTTGACTAGGTTTGCTCGTTTGACGAGGTTCGTTCGTTCGACGAGGTTCGTCTGTCATATGAGGTTCTCCTGTTTGACGAGGTTCACTCGTTCGATGAGGTTCATCTGTCATACGAGGTTCGCCTGTTTGACGAGGTTTGATCGTTCGACCAGGTTCGCCCGTTCGACGAGGTTCGCCCGTTCGACGAGGTTCGTCTGATTTGCTGAGACGTGACCCTCGTGTTTCGTAGTTACGCGTCCATTGATTGCATCGTATTCAGGAGTTACTACATGCAACAGTTACAACAGTATTTAGAGCAATTTAATATATTGATGTTACAATCTTAATTACCATTGAGAATTGTATCAGTCACATTAATTGTGAGTGACTCTTACGCTGGCCTTAGAGGCCTATAAATAGCACCCTTAGGCAGCTCATGGACATAGACACGCGAGCTTGGAAAACGAACGTCAGATCAAGGAGATCTTGACGTTGTTGTTGTTGTTGTGCTGCTGCTATAGAAACTGTGCCCGGAGGAACTCACCCTGAAACCGAAATGTTCTGAGATCGAGGAGATCTTTACCTTGACCTAAAGGTCTTATAGACCAAGGAGATCTTGACAATACTGTGTTGGTGCACACCATAGTACTGTACTGATGTTCCTGGAAATAGTTTGGACTTGGAATCCTTACACCGGAGTAGGCCAAATATTACTTTAAACACAGTATTTCACAAACGCACAGTAGTGAATTAAAAGTTTAAAATTACAGCACATCATCTTTTACTGTTTAATTCTAGATTTAACCGTAATTTCCAACAATCTTAAAACAATATCTTTGATCTACAATGGATCCTACGAGGACACTTAGAGTGGACTGTCTCAAGTTAGAAAACTTTGATAGATCTAACTTTAACGCATGGCGTCGAAAAGTGATTTTTGGGATGCAACTCCAGAAAATCTACTATGTGGTTTCTGAAGAGAAACCTGACTTTGAAGAAGACTCTGAGTCTGAAACCTCTTGGGCTAAAGATGATCATTTTTGCAGGAGTTATCTCCTTAACTGCCTGGCTAATCATCTGGCAAATGCTTACACCGACAAGCCCTCTACAAAGAAAATCTGGAATGCTCTGGAGGAGCAATACAAGGATGAGGAGAAGCTTTCCAAGTCTCACCTCATTGACAAGTTTCTAGACTTTAAATTCGAAGATAACATTGAGATTTTGCCTCAAGTCAAAGAGCTCAAAAAGCTTGTTATGAAGCTGAATGATGAAAAGATCAGTCTTTGTCAAACCTTCATCTCTGGTGTAATTATTAACAAGCTTCCTTCATCTTGGATGTCATTCTCCATGGACATTCGAAGAAGAAAAAGACAAGTGACTCTGTCTGATTTGAAGAGGTTTATTCGGATCGAGGACGAGATTCGGACTCGCACGAATAATGAGCTCCTAGCTAAGTAGAAGGCGTCTACCAACATGGTAGCTGCTAACTCTGAAAATAGTACTAGTTCTTCTAAGAAGAAGAAGAAGAAGTTATTTAACAAAAAGAAGAACCATAATCCAAAGAACCTAAATGTTCAGAAGAAAAATTTTAAGAAGAGCGGCAAATGCTTTAACTGTGGGAAGCAAGGACATTTTGGCAAGGACCGCAAAACACCAAAGAAGAGAACAACACACAATGTTAATCAAGTTGACAATTGTGTGGCAATGCTCTTCTAAGTGACAACTCCCAATAACGTCTCTGGTTGATAGTTAGATACAGGTACTACATGTCATGTCTGCTCCAACAGAGATTTGTTCTCTTCCTATGTTGCTGCCAAAGAGACGTATCAATGGCTGATCGTTCGGTAGTTTCTGTTCTTGAAACTGGGACTGTGGTACTGACTCTCTCTTCAGGGAAGACTCTCACATTGAAAGATGTGAAACATATTCCCTCAATTGCCAAAAATTTAGTTTCTAGAAGCCTACTGTGTGATGCATGTATGAGGCTAGATTTCCAAGGAGGAAAGGTTGTGTTATCATTTAAGAAAATGTATTTTGGTAATGCATATCGTACTGATTACATATATAAGATCAGTACTATTGTACCTAACTCAGTTGTATATGAAGTATCCTCTTCTGCTTACTCCTCTGTATTAAGGCACAATAGGCTAGGACATGTAAATTATAGACAATTGTCTAGCATGGAGAAATTAGGATTACTTCCAAAATATGGGGGTAACAAACCTAAGAAGTGTGAAGTCTGCGTGCAAGCAAAGTTGACAAAAAAGCCCTTTCCAAGTGTCACAAGGAGCACCAACCTATTGGATCTAATTCACTTAGATACTTGTGATTTCAAGAGCTTCGTCACTTGAGGCGGCATGAAATACTTCTCATCTTTATTGATGACCACTCTCGCTTCTGCCACGTCTACCTGCTAAAATCTAAAGATGAAGCCTTCAGCAAGTTTGTTGAGATTCGGACTCGAGTGGAGAAGCAGCTTGGACTTCAGGTGAAAAGACTCAGGAGCGACAGAGGAGGAGTCGAAGACATACTTCAAGGAGCATGGAATCATTGCTGAAACTACTGCTCTGTATTCTCCGTAATCTAATAGAATTACAGAAAGGAAGAATCGCACATTGACTGAGATGGTGAATTCAATGCTAATCACATCCGGTCTACCTACATGCTATTGGGGAGAGGCTTTGCTGATGGCAAACTGGATTCTGAACATAGTACTATATTACAAAACTGATAGTATCCACATCAGTTATGATTAGGATATATAGATCCTTTGGATAGTCTCAAAGTGTATGGGGTGGCTCGTATATGTTCGAGTTTCAGATATCAGAAGGCCTAAGCTCGGACCAAAGGCAAGCAGATGTGTGTTTCTTGGATTTGCTGAAGATAATGATGCTTGCAGGTTCCTTGACCTTGGAACCAACTCTATTGTTGAAGCTCGAGATGCAGAATGCTTTAAGGATAAGTTTATCAAATATATAAGTTTATTGCTCAAAGATATAGCAGAGAATGGTAGTACGTCAGATGCATCGCCAGTTTCGCGAGAAACTGAAAGTGTCAATGATGAAGAAGTTACTAAACCATCTTTCAAGCGTGTCAGGAGACAGAAAGATTTTGGAGATGACTTCATCACCTATAATGTGGAAGGAGATCCACACACTTTCCAAGAAGCAATACAGTTAATAGACACTCTCCTGTGGAAAGAAGCTATAGATGATGAGATGGATTCATTGATCCAAAATCACACATGGGATCTGGTGGATGCACTTGAAGGTGCTAGGCCTATCAGTTGTAAGTGGATCTTTAAGAAAAAGCTTCGTCCTGATGGTACTATTGAGAAGTACAAAGCAAGACTGGTTAGAAAAGGATTCTCTCAGAGAGAATAAATAGATTTCTTTGATATCTATGCACCAGTTTGCAGGATCACTACCATCAGAGTGTTTATCGCATGGACGGTGATAAAAAGGTTCTTTATACATCAGATGGATGTGAAGACTATCTTTCTCAATTGAGACCTTACAGGAGAGATTTACATGAAGAAACCAAAAGGACTTAATGCTCCAGCTAGTAAAGTTTGTAAAATTATTAAGTCTCTATATGAACTTAAGCAGGCACCAAAACTCTGGCATGAGAAGTTCGATGGGGTAGTTCTCAACAATGGGTATCAAGTCAGTGAGTCTGGCAAGTGCCTATACAACAAGGTCGTTGAAGAAAAGGTGGTTGTTATCTACCTCTATGTAGATGATATGCACATCATCGGTAGTGATTTGAAGATAGTAACATCTACCAAAAATTTTCTATCAGCTCAGTTCAGCATGAAGGACCTTGGTACTGCGGATGTGATTCTTGGAATCAAAATCATATACTCTAAAGAGGGTATTAGATTGTCCCAATCTCATTATATCGAGAGCATGCTAAGAAAGTATGACTACTACGACCTATCAGAACTGTCAGTGACGTATGATTATAACAAGAAGCTTCGACCGACACTGGAAGGCCAGTAGAGCAGCTAAGGTACTCAAAGATTATTGGGAGTCTTATGTACGTAATGAGCTACACGAGGCTAGATATAGCATTCGCAGTAAGAATGCTTAGTAGGTTCACAAGTAATCCTGGAAAGCTTCATTGGGATACTATCCAGAGATTGATGATA